TTAAAAATCGGAAGAACAATTTTTCCAGAATACCTTAAGAAGGTAACGATACCAGGCTTATTCTATTACAGCAAAACATGTTCGTTTTCAACAGAAAAAATACATTCAACAACAGTTAAAAAAATCTAATATTTCAAGCAATGATTGTATTTGTGCTAGGAATACCGTTGCGTTTACATTTTCTAGTGACGTTTTGTGTTTTTCTGTGTTTATTCTCAACTGAGCCTAATGGAAAATCATTCTCGAAAATGTCCTCTGTCGCCGATGATGTCGTCATGCCAAAAGTTTTTATAAAACTGCCCTTATTATCATTATAAATCGGTAATTTAATACAACGCATTGGACCAGATATATCATCTGAAGTTAATTTAGATGTATTCCACATTTTTACTAATAAATCACTTGCTTCTTTAGCCAACTGTGTATTACGATCCATAATCGTCTTCATACCATAGTATGACCAAAAACGTAAGCATTCGGTTAATGCTAAAAAACTTGCATAATCTTTTAAACCTGTCCAGAGAAATTCAGAATGCATTCCAGAATTAATTCCATGTGATTGCACACATGGACGAATTCTTAGTTTACTGTTTGATTTGATATACAACAGACCAACTCCTTTGGGTGCACAAAACCATTTATGACAGTTTGTTAAATAAATATCTGGTAAATAGTCATCCTCATAATCAAAGCGAAGATCAATTGAACCAAGTGCGTGCGCTCCATCGATGATGCATGTGATATTCAATTGCTTACAATAATGACAAAGATCATTTATCGGTAAGATGAATGGCGAATTGCTTGGTATATGATCAAAAAATGCATAAGTCCGAAATAATTTGAAGTTGTCGAAAACCCAGCTAATTTCCATTCTTTACATGAAAACTATTACCGACAATGTTGTGGAAAAGTCCATGGGATATCAACTGAAAAAATTTTTTTTTCATAGCTCCGAAATGAACGCTTAAATATGCATATTCTAGTTTCTTTTGGCTCAAGTGGTTGATATTACAGGTCGATGATGACTCTCACTTTTCGTGAATAAACTAGTTTTAGTCTTAGCTAAAATATCACCGTTACATAATCATGCATTTTACAAATAACTATGTTTTCGCAGATGGCGACTGTTACGTGAAATGGCCCTTTTGATGATTTATTCTGAGAAAAATGAACTTCTAATGTTGATATTTAAACTCGACTTCTTTGTACTAATTTTGTTTTAGAACCACTTTTTTTTGTAGAGAAGCTTAAATCTTGAAACCTTGAACTAATTCCTACCACGCGTGCAATCATTTTCTGTCTTTAACCGCAGTAAACTCGCATGACTCATAGAGAGTTGTAAGAATAAATTTGTCTTTTCTCTAGTGAAACGTCAGGATAACGATTAGTAAAAGGGTAACCGTCTCTGGTAGATCGAATCAGCAAATTATTTCGATGACGTCTGATATATATATATTTAACTATGTTGAAAGAGAAGTTACAGAAAGGCAGTCTCGAGGAATGCGCGGATAGTAAAGGCCAGTGCGAGTTTTCAAGGTTGAACTTTCCTGTAATAAAAAAATGGTTGTAAAACAAAATGAATTTCTCATATTTTATCTTCTCCTTTTTTGATAAACAAACAACAAAAACTAAAAACAAGAGTAAATAAACAACAAAAGCAGTTTGGTACAATAATAATACATGTCCTTCAAAAATAGCAGCAATGGGTAAAATAACTGAACAAAAAACGTTTAGCGATGAGAAAAATATACGGATTTTATTTATTTATTATTTGGTCGACTTGACAAGTCAATAAAATGATTATCCTAATACTTTACAACAACCACCATATAATATACCCATAAGAACTTTTCTTGTATGGAATGTTAAAAGGAATATCACATCGTACTAGTTGAGTTTTAGTGCTAGACGACATTCGTCTCGAAAGATCTAAGGTTTGAGTAGTAGAGAAAACCATGAAAACTACTACGTATTGAATACCAGATTGTTATATTTTCCATCATTATTATTATCCATTAAGGCAATATAACTTTTTCTTACTTGCCAATCGCGAGCTGGTAAATTTTGTAACCTGTTTAATGAACGGTATTTCCATAATAACCAAAAAATACCAACAACCGTACAAAACATAACTTGAATGTAGTATGGATCGTAATAACCATGGGTACAAAAACCACCTAACATTTGACATTTGCTTTCTTCCTCTGGAGTATAACATATCGTATTACCTAATGAACATGCTTTCCATGTAAGATGATCAGCGACATACAACATAGTTGTCGATATCCAATTACTACCTAGAAATAAGAGAAAAATTCCATGTTTCAGTTTGATATATACTAGGGTTTTTTTCTGTTGACTATCTTACCAAAATTTGATAATGTATTGAGAAGAGTCATATATGTACCACCGACTTTTGGATCACTTACTGTAGCATAAAATGCCATTTGAGATACAAACATATTATATACGCACACCTAAAGATAAAGTTATATATCTTAAACGCTTAAGAACTCAAGTAAAATGTTAATACCTGATGAAGACCATAGATAACGATTGCTATACCATAATAATACCATGGAAATGTTTTGGTGTCATTTTGAAAGAACGGTGTAAAGTAGACGAACAATGCCATTACAATTCCCATCACTAATCTGAAATAAAGTGGAAAACTTTTCTCAAAAAAATCAGTCGACTAAGAAATAGATTGAAAACACATTACTATTCTCAATCATTATTCCCACTCTTCTAGATAAAACAGTTCACTCCAAAGTAGCTGTTTTTCGATCAGAAACTATTCAGTTTTGAATTTCTTTTCTTTACTGAAACGCAGTAAAACGACTGATAACTGACAAGAGCTAATCTAGTATGCTAATCTTCAGAGAACAGTTTTTAGAAATTTCTGAAAATATCGATTCATTTGTTGGTATAAGGTTGAAATAAGACAAAATAATGTGTACGTTAACGTTAATCTTCACAACGTTCTACATAAATAAAATAAAAATGTTATTCGTTGATCTCGTACTAGTTATTTTGGGTTATACGAAATTTCTAAAAGTCCAGCGCGAGATACAGTTAGTGAACATCTACACGGATGATGCAATGTAATACGAAGATGTCAATGACTTCAATGAACACAGTATATCGAAATAATCTTGAGTAACACAGAAAATCTCGTAGACTACTATGCAGATATTTCAATACCTTAGTGGATAAGAATTAATAAATAATCTCAGTGGTCTGGGACCAGTTGTATATCGAGATATAATAAATGGCAATAAAATTTGTAATGGAGTCAATGGTATTGCTAATAGGGCTAAAGAATCTTTTGTTACACCTCTTTCTAATAATTCTAATCCGGTCATGGAATCTGTAGCAGCAAAACCTATCTGTACAAAACAAAGCACACATTATTTCATTCAGGAACTTTATTTTACTTACTTTAACTGTTAATAGAATAAGTGCCATTTCACGAACACATGGTAATTTTAATATTTTAAATAAAATTTTATATGTTTCAAAAATGCCAAAATGTGGTTCATTCAAATCAGTGTCATCATCTCGCTCTTGTTTAATTAGAGCAACAAATGTTGTCGAGACAATAAATATACAACCCCAAAAAAAAAGAAAACCTTAAAGTAAAACAAACAATATTTCTTTTTAGAAATGATAAAAAAAGTATTACCAAATTTACCTGGTAATGTGACTAGACCTTCAGCTGCTTCTGGTTGAAGAAATAGCTTTCGTATATACTGATTACAAAAATCTTTAGATTCTAACGCTAAAAAGACGACATTGCCCAGAAAATAACCGGCTGTTTGTCCCACTGAATTACAAGTTGACGCCCAACCAACATTGCCTCTATTTTAAAAATGAATTAACAACAATTCATTGCTAATAAAATGAATAAATAAATAAACAAACGCACTTTTATACCTAGATAACATTGATAAAGCCCAGCCATCAACACAGACATCTTGAGTTGCAGCAAGAAATGATAAACCAAAAAATACAGCAGTCAATAAATAAATTTCTAAATAGACGAATAAACTATGAGTCGATATGTTAGCTGATATACTACTGAAAAGTTTTTTTGCAAAAAAGATGCTCGTTTTCCTGAAAAAAAAAGCTTTTTCTTGCCTGAAAAATCGTTTGTCAGAAAATCTTTGTGTCCGAAGGCAAAAAAGGACATACAGTCGCCGCTATCGGCTGAAAAAAGATTTTAGCCAAACGATTGGCTGACATCTCTAACTATGAGTGAAGGGAGTCTTTTGACATGCAGAAAGAAACGAATGAGATACTGGGATATTTATCGTATAGAAGATGAAGAAAACATCCGGAAAACAACCGATAAAAACAAAAGCAATATATTTTTGTTTGTTTGTTTCTTTCTGTGGAACAAACTAGAAATGAATGGTTTAAAATACATTATATTTATTAAATAAGTTGAATCAACAATTTTCTTGTTTATCATATCTATTGCGAACAATTTCAATTATAGCATAACCTAATTCTTCATATTGTTCAATATAATTATAGATATGTGCCGATATTCGAACATACAAATTTCCATCAATATTTTTGATTGGTACTTCAATATTGAAATCATGATAAAGTTGATTTTGTATTATTTCAGCATCATCATATTTAAAACTGCCCTTATTATCATTATAAATCGGTAATTTAATACAACGCATTGGACCAGATATATCATCTGAAGTTAATTTAGATGTATTCCACATTTTTACTAATAAATCACTTGCTTCTTTAGCCAACTGTGTATTACGATCCATAATCGTCTTCATACCATAGTATGACCAAAAACGTAAGCATTCGGTTAATGCTAAAAAACTTGCATAATCTTTTAAACCTGTCCAGAGAAATTCAGAATGCATTCCAGAATTAATTCCATGTGATTGCACACATGGACGAATTCTTAGTTTACTGTTTGATTTGATATACAACAGACCAACTCCTTTGGGTGCACAAAACCATTTATGACAGTTTGTTAAATAAATATCTGGTAAATAGTCATCCTCATAATCAAAGCGAAGATCAATTGAACCAAGTGCGTGCGCTCCATCGATGATGCATGTGATATTCAATTGCTTACAATAATGACAAAGATCATTTATCGGTAAGATGAATGGCGAATTGCTTGGTATATGATCAAAAAATGCATAAGTAAATTGAGATGATTTGAGAGCAATTTTCATTTTATCTATAACTTTATTGATATCATCAATTGGAAACTCAATCAAAAATTCATATAATTTTGCACCGGTATTCAAACAAATCTCCTTAATATACTTTTTATAAGCACCATACATCGTACTCGTTATGAATATATGACTTTTATCATTTATATTCAATGACGTTACTACAGAATTCCAAGCAAACGTAACATTCTCAACTAATATTAAATTTTTTGCTGTTGTACAACACAAAAATTTTGCCATTTTTCTTATTGCATCTATTAATCTTGGAAATACTTCACGATCATAGAAACGTAGTGGCTGTTTCTCAATATAATACTGAAACAAATGTGCATATTCTAATGCTTGACGTAGTACACAACCAAATGCTCCATGATTGAGAAATACATATTTATTGTCTAATAAAAAATATTTTTCATTCATCAGACGTCCAAATAGAATTTTATCATCATTTGTATAATCATATAAGGAAAATGGTATTGGCAATGATATAAAATCATCCTCAGTTAGATTTAGTAATTCTTCGACGTTTGAACTATGAAATGAACCAAAATCACGTCGTACAATCGATGACATGTCAATTTTTATCTAAAACTTATTCCACATGCTCAAATGTAAATTTAAATAAAGCTTAACAAAAAAACAAATACTATCCCTTTTGCATCACGATTTAGAACGAAAGTGGTGCACTTAACATTGAGTAATCAACAACGAAATTCAAATAAACAAGAACACGAAGTGTATACACAAAAGAAAAATTGTACTTTTTCTATTGTCGCTTATATCAGAGAAGAAAAAAAGATCATAAGTAATAACATGCAGAAATAACAAGTAAGGTGCCCATAATTCGAAATTCAAGTAAACAAATTTTTTTGAGCTATTTATACATGGTTGGATAGAGCTCGTCGAACTGATTCAGAAAATGTGTTTTTATGTTTGAAAAAATTATAAATATTTCAAAATTTTTCGTTGGTTTTCATTTTTGGATGAAAATCTCAGTAATTTTTCGGCGTGAAAATTCGAAAAAACAAAAGCAGTCGGATAAGATAAAAAAAGTACATCATTCGACTCAGTTTTTGCCTCTTATTCCGAATATGATATTTTTATTACATAAAAAATGCGCTCTGGTGGAGAAAGTTGAGAATTACGGGCATAGGTCAGTTTGTTTTCTGCTGCTGATCTAGAAAAAATGAATTTTCTCAGTGATGGAACAAAATTAAAAAAAAGCGATACATAGTGTTAAAGCGCGTTTAATAACGGCTCTAATGAAGTAAAAATCTCGCTTTATCTCTTCACAAAAAGGATTTAATAGGTTCGCAAAATTCTTTATGAACTTTTTATGTCCAAGGTGTACCTACTGAATAGACCTTTAATTTCAATCTCGATCAAACATCAGATTCATACTCAGTTTCTAATGCTGAATCTGAAAAAAACACTTTTAAAATGTTAAAAGAGCGAAACAGAAAAAAATTTAAGATTTTTGAAACCGAAGCGTTTTTCGAAAAATTTAGATCCTTCAACTATTTACAAATTGTCGACATGTAAAAAATTTTTTCAAACATTAAAACGCATATTTTCTGAATCAACTCGACGAGCTCTATTCAACCATGTATAAATAACTCGAAAAAAAAAATTTTCACTGAATTTCGAATTATGGGCGTCTTACGTTGAGACTTTGTTATACTAGACATACGTACGTGGATGAGCTGTTTTTGCTGCTGTTAATAGGTTGGTAATGCTATACGAGAGTACAAGCATTGTAATGCCAATTAAATACTGTACTGGTATAAGCCATGTTTTTCTTCGGCCAAATCTTTTTAAATATAAGGAATCAACAATAGGTCTAAAAATAAAAATATTTGATCAGATCTCATAACAGTTTGTGCAAGAGTGATACCACTTACGCCCATATTAATTTTAAACTAAATGGCCAAAAAGCAAATGAAAATATTGCCTGTTGTGACCAAGATGCGCCGAATGTTTGTATAATAAGTGGAATTGAAGCTGCCATACCTAACGGAATTCCTTGCAAAAGATATAAAAACAATAATAAAAATATTGATGACCGGTCTGATCTCCAGTTTTGTTTATACGGTAGATTCATGTCGATTGATGATGATTTTGGGCGATAACGTTTCAACATAATTTCGTCTTGTGGTAATTGCTGGTAAGGATGTTGCTGTGGATTTTTTTCGTGGCTTGCGCTATCACTTTCTTGATGGAAGGATGATTGATAATTGACTGGTACTGATTTCAATAATAGATGATCTTTTGATTTATCATTCATACGATGTCGAAAATCGGTCATCTTAAAATATTAAAAATTCCATTCTTAAAAGAAAATGAAAAACATGTTGGTCAGTAATGTTATATTGTTTTGCTAGATAAGATGCAATAAAACAAATGTTATATGTTAGAATATTTGAGATGTAAATAGATTTCTTTGCTTCCGTTTTTTCTCCCGGCTTCTTGGAAGATTACTTGAAACTTTCTTAGAATAAATTCTGTTAGAACTTCTAAAATGATAGATTTGAATTTGGTCATTCGACTATCATATTCAGTTAATTGGTTTGAAAATTAAACGCCGAAAGAGGGAAGCAGATAGGGAAAAGAGGCTGAGAGGATGAAATAACATATTAGTTGATTCGGAATACATTCTACCAAAAAAACTCACACGAAACTCATAGCATAGTCACAGTAAAAACGTCGTTTTTTCTATGTTACATTTATGCCATTCAGTTCAACATCTTTACCATTGAGTGCAACATCTTCAACTTGTCATTACAACTGTAGATTTTTCTTTAAATTTCGGTGGCTTGCTCTTTCCGTTGAATGACTTCAGCAATTTTTCTGCATTCTGTCAGCTACAAAAACAAATAAGCAAATTTTCATTTTTTTATTTGATTTAATGAATATTCGCGTCAGAGATATGAAGGTTTTAAACAATATCTTGTAAATGAATTGTCAGTCTGAAATGTAAACACTTCGCAAAAAAATGAAAATTATTTTTTATTTCATAACGATCGAATTTGTGGTTTATCATTTTGTTGTATAGTATGTTTAATACAAACAGCTTGTTTTAAATCATCTAGGACAACAAGTTGAAGTGTATGAGCAAAACAAGGCAATCTCCACTCACTCTTGGATATAACATTATCGAAGCTATGCGAATTTTCACTTTTTTTTCATCTTAGTTTTTATATATATTTATGAATTTTATATTATTAGAAAATTTGACAACGGTTTTCTTCCGCTAACCTTCAAAAATAGCTGTCAATTGACTGCTGGCGGAAAACAACTGAAGATAACTTGTCTCGTTACTTTATTAACATTGCTTCACTTCATTGGTGAATATCAACCAATGAAAAGTGATATAATAGTCCATGTCACCAGATCGAAAAATTTCAAAACTTAGTTCAATTAAAGCCAGTTATTAATTATTTGATACGCGATAACTTTTGAATCGGGGTACTTCAGAAAAAAAGTTTATCCTATGGTCTGACTCAAAAATTTTTCAAAAAGTTACTGTACGGAACCAAAGGCAAAACGGAGGGCGAAAAATTCTTCTAAAGTACTCCGATCCAAAAGTTATTGTGTATCAGATAACTGACTATAGAAGACGAATCGGCAATTGGTTTTGACCGAATAGAACAAGCTTTTAAAATTTTTCGATGTGGTGATATGAAAGCGTTCTTAGAATATATTAAGACCTAATAGGACTTTGCCATGGAAAACACATTAATACAACACATATAGCGTCATGGTAAAAACGTAACACTATTTTTTGTGGTATTGAGTTTTTACTGTGACTTTTAACGTTTTTGTCGTTACTTTTTTTTTATAGTATGCTTCAAATTAGTGAACGATTAAACAACGTATGCGAAGAATTCTGTCAGCTATCTCTTTATCGTTCTTCTGTTCCTCATTACGTAAAGGTGTCGAATTGAAGAAATAAGGCCGATGAGAATTAAATAACACCTATGTGCCAACCGCTCGTCAAAAACGTTTTTCGTTACCGTTTTATGATTAAAAGAAAAAGAGGATTGAGATGTATAAATAATTTTTGCCGCCACTATAAAGTTGTCTATGCTTGGTCGTGAAAGTACAATTGATTGGCATCTATCTGAACAAACCAAGAGCATTCGTTCTGATATAAGTGCTAGTAAACTTTGGTAATTGCCAAGTGTGCAGCCATGGACGTTTGAAGTAGAAAATATTGATATAGAATAAATCCTTTCGTTCATATTTGTATCAAGGACGTAGCTCACCCCACCAAGCAGGAGTGTGGCTAAAAATTCATTCACATGTTTTACGAGTTTATTTTAAAATTTTACTTTGTAAAGTGCCAGTTTTCTTTGTTTCCAAAAACGTTTTACTGGAAGAACAAAAGATCTCAGCCTTTTATCTATGTAATATTAAACATCTAATATTTAATATTAAACACAAGTCTACAAAAACTTGATCACGTCTCTTTCACTCTCTATAGTATTAATCTGTGATAGCGAGCGAAATGAATACATCACTAAAGTTTATTATTTTTGATTCCTAAATCTCAGCAAATTTTGAAATTTCATAATATTGTTATATTAATATAAAGCTATAGCCGAAAAATCGGATTGTTTGTAAGATGGTACGGATCTTCATTTTTGTATATAAATCACGAATGTATCGAACTTTATAAGTCTGCGTGTGTATCTTTCTTCAAGTGTAAATTCCCTTGACGATTGTTTTTTCTCTTAGAGCAGTTTTAATTCTACTATCGTGTCACATTGGAACTAACACATCTATTCTTAGAAGATTTCTCCTGCGTTTTCTACCCATCTTACCGTCTGTTTTTTTCTCCAACTCTAATTGATTTAAACTATTTTATTTGAAAAGAAAAATTGAAAGAACTGCTGAACAGAGACATTACAGTCCAGTGACCATTTCTAGAAGAAAAGAAGAGTAAAAAGACGATAAAATAAAAGGACAAATGAAAGAAAAACCATTTTAGAAGCGTAGCTGTTTCTTGACAAAAGGCAATCAAAAGCCAAGAATGATAAAAATCTAGATTAAACATACGGTACTTGATATATGTTGGGAATTTACCGTATAAACAGATAATTCAACGTAGTTTCATGCGCTAATGCTGAATATGCCATTTTTTTTTATTAAAAATGCTTATTTTGTAGAGAAAACTGGTTTCAACCACAAAAACGTACTGTGGAAACTAGAAAGATTTGCACATATGTAACAAATTTTATTTGATGTAATGCAGAAGAAGATTTGTGTTAAGTCTGCGTTCGATTGAAAGTTGGAGTGAAGTGAGAAATCTACTACACTGAAGAGTTGATATTGGGAAACGTTTTTACCATGAAAAATACTGGTTCCTCTTTAATTTCAACTGGGATAATATTTTCGCCATTAAACATCAAAACGAGTCTGGATTTATTATAAAAATTTTCTCTTTTTAATGAAAAACTGACTCTTTTGTGGAGCAAAAAATTCGTAAGAAAGAGAATATTTTTTGTCTGTAATTGATTAGAAAAATATGTGAATATTCTCTGATTTGAGTTCACCTTCTTAAATTCATGTTTGATAAAAACATACAATTGAAGGCATATTATAAAGATGATTAATGTACCAGTAGAGAAATAGACTGATAATACTAATTGTGCCAACACAAGAACATATCGCGGCCGTTATACAAAAATGATGTATAATTCTATACTGGATGACGATGATTTGACAAGAAGATTTAAGTGTATGTGCATCATAAGCATAGGATTGCCTTTTTATCTTTCGCTAAGTGAGAACATAGTGCCCTCTTTTAGCTAACATAAGTTATATATTACAATATTCGATTTGTATGTGGTCGCTCAAATTACTCTAAACTTCAACGAAAAGGATCAAAATTATGCCATAAACAGATTTATGTGCAAAATATGCCGTTAAAACATGACTGAAAACTGCCCAGTCAAAAAAAATATCAAGAGGAGGAGTATGATGGAGCACTCTTTTTGGAAAAAAAGAAAGGCGTACTCTTTTTCCCAAAAAGAGTGCTTCAGAAAAGGAGTAACCCTTTTTTAAGAATTACTCCGGAGTACTCGAAGTACAAAAGGAGTACTCCAAAAACTACACTGTTTTTGAAGTGCTCTGCAGTGCCTCGGCTGCACTTTATAAAAAGGAGTACTCCGAAGCGCTCTTTTTTTGAGGAGTATTCTACACTACTCCAAAAAACGAGTACTCTAGAGGACTCTTAGTGGTTTTTTTCAGAAGGAATGCTCCGAAAACGGAGTACACCTTCATACTCCTACTTCTGACCTTTTTTTTGACTGGGTGGTATCAATCGAGAGTTCATCTTATGTTCGTTCACTTATGATTAACGCTTGGATAATCGTGAGTCAATTAGATAGATCTAATAATTAGTTTTTATTTTTGTCTTTAAACGTCATTTGTCTCATTCTCTGAGGAGAGAGAAAATCCGAAAAGAGAGCACAATAGATATATATTGATTTTTTTTTGAATAATTTGTCATCAGGAACATATAGATAGATATCATGCCGATGCCCAACATGATGCTTATCTTGTATAAATACAATATAAAACAGATATTCAAGCTAATTTTTCTATTAGGACAAGCACAAC